CACCACCTGCTGCTGTCGTCAGAGTCCCTGGAGACTCCGGACCTGCGGCCGCAGCAGCTGCCTGGTGTCAGCTCCACCCAGAACTGGTGAGACGTGACCGGGGTATCCCCGGAGTTAGGGCGCGTGAGGTCCCCGGAGTTAGGGAGCGTGAGGTTCCGCGGGGAGAGGAGAAAGGCAAGCGCAATTGGACGCAACTGGATCTTGTGCCCCTCTTAGATGCCCGTTCGGAGAACTTGCTTCTCCTCGGTTGGAGGCGGGCGGGGACACTAAGCAGCCGCCAGACCAGCCCCGGGGTCTCGGGTGGCTCTGGCACCATCACGTTGCGCTGTAAGGACCTGCGGGTACTGCACACCGAGGGCATGGGAGCGAGCTGGACACGTCCCCTCCCCTCCATCGAGGTTGTATACCCGAAGTCCTTAAGCTACCTCTATCTAGTATCGTTGGTGTAAACCGGGGCTGCCGCGCCAAGGTGCTCAGTACTGCGAACGAAGGCAAGGGGATGCGCTGCGGCCAGCAATACCGGGTGAGGCGCAGCGATCTGGCGATCGCGCCTTCTGCGGTGGCGCCCGCTTCCGCCCGGCAGGCGGCTTTCCAGCACTCAAACGCTACCACACTCCCAGCGGAACCGCGAGTCCCGCCCCGTCCCCGGCTCGCCCTGGGATCCAAAGGGTCTCTCCGTGCTGTATCCACCCATTTGCCAACACCCCCTCCCCGCCAACGCCCACCCCCACCCCACCCCCGCTCCAGCCCTGGGCTACCGCCCTTTCCACGCAATCCCGCCTTCTCCGGTGATCCGCACCCGTTGCCAGTTTCGAAGTCCCGCCCTCCGCGGTTGTGGGTCTCTGGGAGCCTGTTCCCTTCATTCAGGACCCACCCACTTTCTACTTTTCTGATCTCTGCACCCTGCACCCACAACCCACCCAGAGACCGAGGTCCGACCCCCTACGAGTTGCACACTTATGGCCCCTGCTTACTCTGGACGGGCTGCAGTTCTAGATCCTATCCCCAAGTACCTTAGTCTGGGGGGCTACAGCTGGAGAAACTGAGTCTCAGTACGCAGGTGCTGCTGCTCTCCTGCCAGCTCCTGGCCGGGGTGCAGAAGCAGCAGCCGCACTGAGGATGAGTTACTACAAGCTGTCCTGGCTGGTGCGAGGCTTGGGGTCTCAGGTTCACCATACAGGGGGTCTGAGGACCTACAGAGTGAAAGCATGGAATAGCCTGGCACCGGGCCTGGCAGCTTGTAGGCACACAGTGGTACAGTGGTCACTATTTTTTTTGGGGGGGGGAATGAGGGGGTTGGCTTATGCATAAGCTCCCATTCTCTCCTCAGATTGAGATGGGGTAGGAGGCCCCACTCCCACCCCATCCCTGCCATTTTCACCAACTCATGGATCATCCAGGTGAGACTCCCTTGTCTCACCTGTTTAGCTCCCACTCCCCCATCCTTCCTATCTAGCCTTTCTCCTGGAGGCTTCTTGGCTTAGTCCTCTCTAGTTAGACTTCTAGTGGCTAACCTGTTTTTTCCTTTCCATGTACTCTTTGAACAGCTTCCTCTCAGCTCTATCTCCACTTCCAGCAGCTGATTTTGAATTTACCAATCCAGACCTGTCCATACCCATACTGAATTTTTCTCTTCTGCTCATGCAAGTCTCTCTCCTGCATATTTATGCTCTGCACACCTAGTGAACTTTGCTGCCAGACCCACTTCTCAACTGGCCTGCCCAGGTCTTTCCAGGCAAAGCTAATTGGACCCCTTGAGCACTAGGGCTTTGTCTCATTCCTGCTTTATGCTATTACAGGGTTTAAGGCTCTGACACTAACTTACGAGAAAAAGGTGCCCCAGGATGGCTGTCACCTTACTGACCAGGGGGCACAGCCCTACCCCGGAAGGCACAGACGATACTCTCAACAGATGCCTGCGTGAAGGGAAAACTCGAACACCCTCCTGTAGTCTGTGCTCAACCAGCCAGAAGAGCAGCCCAAAGTCCGGAGCCCACTCTACGTTCTCAACCCAACGGCCACCTGGCCCCGAGTGGAGCCCCAGGCCTTGAGACTAACTGCCCACTCCACTTTCTTTCCTAGAGGGTCTACTCTGTTTGGCTTCCTGACCTGTCTTCCTCTACCTCAGGTCTGTGTCTGCATTCGATCTGCCCTACTGAACCCTGAGGGAGCAAGGGAGAAGTGGCACTAACAGAAAACGAGAAGACAGACAGCTCTCAGCCAACAGCCTCCAAGCTCAGCTCCAACTCTTTTGAGTGCTGGCCCCTCCGATAGTGGCTGCGGTGTTCCTGACCCTCTTCAGGCCTCCCAGCACCCTTGAACCTTGATGGTAACTGCAACCCAGCCTAGCCCATAATACTGAAGCTCAAGGTTTGCAGTGACCAAAGTGTAGAGAGAAAGTCCAGACAATAAAGGTATCCATGATTGGTATCAGCTTGCCAAGGGAAAATGGTGAAATAAGACCCCACAAAATACTGACCAGAAGCCAATTATTTCCAAACTAATTTATTTCTTGAGTCCAAAACCTTCTGTGATCCCTGGTCCTGACAGGAGATCCAATTTCTTAAGCCTCAAACTCAAATTCAAAGTACTGTGGGTCGAAGTAGTGGATGCGGACATAACCATCCTCTCCACCGCTGCTGTAGCTGGAAAGAGAGAGCCAGAAGCC